AGACAGCAAAACATTGCAGACTGCATAGACTGCTCTGAGCGTCATATGTTTTAACACCATAAGCTCCCTAGTCTTCCAAGCTCTCCTGCTTCTACTTCTTTGCTTTTTACGTAAAACTGCGTGGTACCAGGGTAGTGCCACATTCACAAGTGGCATGCGCTGTATCCTGCAGTAGAGCAAGGTGGGAAAGAACTCTGAATTTTCATGTTTTTCTTAAGAGACTATTTCGAACTTTCCAAAAGTTCTGATCTAGACATGACTATCCTTCTGGCTTTATGTTCCTGTCTTTTTAATACTGTCTGGCAGTCTCAATCCCATTGCTTTTCCTGCTATTGTACTTAAGGATGCTGTTGTCTTTACTAAAGATGCCAATCAAAGGCTTTAAAAGAGCCTCCTACAAGCCTCAGCCTTCCTAGCATTTCATCAGTTAATACAGTCAGCAAAAGATGTGTCTGAATTACCAGTGATGACTCTTCAGTTCCTCTCATAATCCCAGAAGATTAACACTGCACCTGTAAAAGGTCAAGGAGACTGCCAGAAAGTCTAGCCTGCTCCACATAAGCCTAACTACTGCAGCTTTACATCTTTCTTATGAAAAGGGGCATGAGTCGAAAAGTGCATGAGATTAAGTACGTGCCTGCACAAAGACACGAGTTCATAGTCACGTAAGTGAAGACAGCATACGTGAATGTATAGTGTGAAGCGTGGGGAAGGCAAAGATGAATTTACCGGATGAGGGAGATGTTTTTTCGAGGCACCTCTTTGAGGTCACTAATGGATGTGGTCTTTCCTGCAAAGCAGTAGTTGGGATTGTAGTCTGTCATGATAGTGGAGGTACGCAGTTTGCTCAGCTTATATTCTGGGCTCTGTAACTCCATCTGCATGGCTTGTAGCTCCTGGTGCTTCCGACGATACACTAAATATGGAGAACACAGTAAACCAGAGACACAGATTCACTTTGGAACAGAACAGCAGCTGTGTGGCATATCTCACTGGAATTCACCGTGTGGCCAAATTTCAGTGAATCAAACCAGACAGTGACACTCTTGTATTTCTACATATCAAATAATTACAGATAGAAAATGGAATCTGAAGTTATCCAGGAGCCTTTGATTTCTGCATCTTATGAAGAAGCAGGCTTATGCTCATGAACTGTTTGGAAGAAGTAAAATGAATTTCACTTGCAGAGATCTCTCATTTCACTGTCTGAGGTTTTCGCTTTGTTCTACTTAGTTTAACCGGACCTTCCAAGTATGAGTCCAGTTCCAAACTTGAAGGAGTCTGGGTATAACCAACTTTCCTAAATCACACAGAAGTGACTAAAAGTCTGAAATAAATTATTGCATCATATTGTTCAAAATGGATAGACTAAACTGTTACCTCCGAATAACACACTGTACATAAAATTAGCTCATTTTGCAAAATTTCCTCTGTTTCTAAACAACAGAGTTGGACTAAATTTGAAATCAGTTTATAGCAGTGTTATATTCCTTGAATCACTTCACTGATACTTCTGAAACATCGTTAGAAATCACACCCAGAAAGAAGACATCCTGTGGATATTCCTTAAAATAGTAATTGATATTGCAGTGCTTTTTTCAAAGCAAGATGCCAATTGTGAGCAGGTTAAATCACTATTACCCTCATTATTGATATCTGTGGGAGCTGGAGTGAGCCCAAAGTGTGACGGTAATAGCTATTGCATCTTCTCCAGCAGATGTTGCTCAGGGGAAGAATTTAAGGGGTAAACACGCACTCGCAAAGGCAGATGGATGTAATGACCTATCCACAAACCCTTCCTGTCCTCCATTTTCCTCCTCATTGCTTTTGCTTTGATTTTTTAAATCACTGCTCTTTCCTGAGATGGTAATGATAGGCTGGTTGGATGGAAAGAGGATTACTCTTCCACTCCCTGAGAAGTAATTAGTAATTTAAAGGGGTACTGTCAGGCCAGAAATCATACATGTAGGACCATATGTGTGCAACTGATAACTCCTGAAATTCTGAAAACTGAAACAGCTGTGCAAATCTAATTTAATAGTTGCCATTTGCTGCTCTGGGTACATGCCTCCCCTCTCCCAGACTATACACAGTGTGGACAAAGAAAGGTGGCAGAGCTGTGGTTTGAATCCCAGGCTGCTTTTCATTGATTCAAATCTATTCTGCTTGCAATCAAATGCAGGAGAGCAATTGTTTAAAATAAGAAAATGAAAGGATGAAAAATACCTTTTAGAATTTCAAATAAAGATGCCAAGAATGCCCACATCCTACTAAGTAGCAGTTTGTAAAAGGGGAACCTATGTGAGAATTTAAAGCTTAAATGTCATACATTAAGAGTCTAAATCTGTATATAGGCACACAAATAAAGAAGCTTGCTTTTAGGCATTAAGCACCAACAGCTCTCACAAAACTAGCAGCAGCTGGGTTCTGGCAGCTTTACACTACAACACAAGCAATAATGTCTCTTTTTGAGGTGCAGTCAGTAACTGAAACCGCCTCAAATTGGTCATTGTGGTAGAAACAACTACTGAAATCTGAAGTTAAGGCGTGTGTGTGGGAAGGTGTCATTAAATACAGCAATAGCTAAAAACCTGAATCCTCTTGCCTCCCAGGGTCCAGTTATCCCTGGCTCATATCCAACCCTCATATGAAAATATCTTTTGCAGAGAATCACTCACCTATCATGATTCCTGAAAAAGCCAAAATTAAAGCAGCCACCAATGCTGAAGTCACTACAGACAAGACCAAGGAGAGAGGGAGATGAATCACTGGCTCAGCTGTAACAGAGGCAGGAGAAGAAGGAATTACGTCTGAAATGATCTACCAACAGCCACTTTTTTTCAGACAGATTTTTCTGCTCTTCCTTCCATTTACTCATCTGCTGTTCCTATAGTGTAGGAGCAACCTCTGGTATGATCAGTTCTCAGGATCTATGACCTCTAACACCTCACTGTTCCACCTTCCTCAATTAATATCAAGCCATTAAAACAGATGGTTTGCTATCAAGGAATTAACACGTGCACTCCCTGGGTATGAAAACAAGACTATAAAAACCAGGGGCAGGAGGTTGAGGAGGTGGAAAGAACATTACATTGCCAGGGTTAAAGTGCTGCTATCAATGCCAAATCACAGCAAAGGCAGAAGAGGGACTGTAATATATCATCTCCTACATGCATCTAATCCAGGCAGAAAAACCTGGTAACAATAAGCATGGTACAAAGTATTGCAAAGCTGCATCCTCACTTGGGACCACAAGGCATTCAAAGACCATCCACTAAGGTTTACTTCACCCTGGCAAAATGACTATGCTTTTTACCCATTTTACAGATGGGAATGGTAAAAATACAGAACAATTTTCCCAGGCCAGTGACAATGCTGACAGCAGGGTCCCGAAAGCCTGGAGTGACTTGCTCTAAGAGCTGGACAAGAATTTGAAGGAAACCTAGTAAGGGAGCTCTGAGCACTTGGTTTTTCAAGTAAGGCAAGTATAGGCACTGTCTCTAGGTTTCCTCAGAGAGATCTCATGCAGAATTTCATACAGATTCTGCACCTGCACCTTATATGCACAAATCCACAGGGATTAGAGCCTTCTTCACCTTGTACATTTTTTTGAATTCTTAAAGAGGATTGACCTGGAATTTAAGTTTAGCTGGAAAATTCCTTCAGCAAACGACCCTTCATGATTTCAGAGCAGACCACAACCAAGCGCAAAATTTGACTCCTGTCAGCGCTGCCCAGTATGCCAAACATACGCCGTAAAGCAAACCAGCAATGCTGCTCTGTGCACCATTCCTCAGCACTGAAGTATCTATATCCTAGCAAAATAACTCTGCAGCATATACCAGCACAGACCAGCAGGAAAGATGTCAGTTCAACAGAACATTCAACCGAAGCCAGTTTTAAGAAAGACTAGATAATGCTTTCAGGATGTCTTACAGTTCAAACTACAGATTTTTGCCATGCATTTCCTGTTTCACACGCTAGCAGCCTACCCCATACACCTACTTACCTATGCAAGACACACCATCCTCAGCCAACTCTGTGCCTGGCTCACAAAAGCAAATGACTTTTTGAGTCTCAAGATCAACGCGGCACTCGTCCATCTCACAGTGACTGCAGTTAAGATGCAGCCTAATATCCACCTCTCCGTGCCCCTCTGTCACTAGGGAGTGGATGAAAGAAGCTGAGTTAATTACTGAAAAGATTATTCATATCGTTTCCTTGGGCGCTGACAGAAACAGGGGACATGGTGGTCACGATTGCCAGATGTGGCAGGGTGGGCCCCATCTAAGAAACCGATTTCTCCCCACCTTCCATAGCTCCTGTCCTTTTCTTATCTAGACAATAACATCCAGCTAAATTAGCTCCCTTGCAGTTGAGGTGCGCCGGCTCTCTTTGAGCAGATAGTCCTTACCAGGTTTGCAAGGAGGCTGCTGTTGAGACTAACAGAAACCTGCCCTTTCAGCCGTTCGTGGGGCTCACTCTTTTCTTTCCTGGCCTTTACTCCCTCTGAGATCAAACACTGCAATATTTTCAAAACTTCTGGGCTGAATCTATCAGGCCAGAGTGCATCTGCATTTGAAAATACTTCTGGCTGTTCTAAAGCAAACATTTTTTTTTTTTTTTAGCAAATAGATATTTTTGTATTTTCTGAACACACCACAAACATATTCAAGACACTGACTTCTGGGCAAACACAGGCTGGAGTGGCAGTATTTATCACTCCCACGCACTGCTGGGCAGCACTGCTCTGTTTTCTCTAGAAACGCCCTGGTCCAAGCTAGATACATTGCTGAGGGATGCTCTAAGGAAAATGTTTGTTAGTGAATAGTCACGTGCTTTGTCTGTTTATTTTGTAAATTATCTGAACTATGAGGTTCTGTTACCACTTTCCTTGGCCAAAATTATTCTATAGACTGGTAGACCACATAATTGGGAAGTGTTTTCTAATAGACCTGACATTCTCTCCACCTGCTTTCTTCCTGCTACCTCTGTTTATTCTACATTGGACTTACGCTATCTTTCTGCCTCCTCACGTTCATGATGACACTAGGCTATACTCAAAGGCATTTAAAGTGTCCTACAGACGCAAACTATTCTTAACATGAAAGAAGATTTCCGACCAACATGAATACCTTTAAGCGCTGGAGTGTATAAAGTACCAATTGGATTAATAAAGGACACACCATCCTCCCCATCCATCTCTGGGTCATTGTCCACTGCAGCATTGCCACCTACGTCAAACCAGAAGTTACCTTAACAGGCAGAGGCTCATTAGCGCTAAAATACAGATAAGCACTGCAAACATGCATGACTGCAGTATATTTAGGGAGGCATCCAAATGAGAAAAGAGAATAAATCAAAGTATTTAACAGATAGGGAACATTTAGTGAGTTGTGACGTGAACCACTGGTCTTTCATCTCTAGGACTTCAATTTAACTGCAGCAGCTTGGACAATCGATTTCTTAGCTCTGAGGTTTTAGGCAGACTGTTGCAAACTAAGGCACTAAACCTAAAGCATAAACTTCATCTTTAATCATTTGGATGCTGTGAAAACAAAAAAGCCCTTCTTAAAATTAATGTGGTCAAGAGACTGGAAAACACCAGAACTCAAGAGCTAAGTTCAGTACTCTTGATGATCAAGGTATGTACTGTGTCAGCAGAGGGAATGGATAATCCGATATCCTTCCTCTCCTTCGCACCCTGAAAGCAGGGTGGTTCACCAGGAGTGGGGACTGAAGGAATTTTCGAGTTGCTCATTTGTGCTTGGACATATAGAACATATCGGGAGCAAAGTACGGGCAATACGTAGAACACATTAGAAGCACAGGATGGGCCGTATATTTAGTACTGCAAGCATGCAAAGATTCCCCCACCCCACCCAAAAATGGCTTTTCCTCTTTAATCATCTTCAATGAAATTGAAATTATGTCATGTGAGGCATTCTGTTGGAAAAAGAAGCATTACACAGTAACATTGGTACAAAACATGCACTTAATAATTTAAACTCATTACTTCCTCTCAGGATTTCTAGTCTATCATAGACTTCATTTAAGCTGTGGAGAGGCAGGGGTTAAGAAGTCCACCACAGTGCAGATGGCTGAAGAAACTATGTGGCCCAGGAGATTATGGGTTAGTAGAGATCTTGAATCTGGCCCACACCAGTTATAATCAACATAATGCCATCTGACAGCTGTCCTGAGACCCGCAGCACATGAAATTAGCTCCTTGTTGACTGAAGTCAACACCACCGTCATTATTAAGAGGGGTCCTGGCTGGCAGCCTGAGCCTTTGCCCCCAGAGACCACCTGTGCAGGACCAAGGCCCACCCACAGCACGGCAGGGTAGAAGAAGCTGCGTCTTTCACCTGGCATAAAGCCTGGCTGCAAGTCTCCAGGACCAAGGTACTCAAAATACAGATGCTGGCAAACAGGAGCACAGAGCCTGTGGCTCCTCCTTCATTAGCACTATAACCCCAAAACGGAAGGCTCAAGAATCACAGCAGGATCTTGATGGCACATTTTGCAGAGTGCAAAGCCAGGATTGCAGCTGAAGGACTGACATCTGGCTATCTGCTCAAAGACTAAATGCCATACGTTCATCTACTGCTAAAAAGGCAACACACAGACATACTAGTACATCACAGTCAAATATGCTAGCTACAGGAGAATTATCTATCAGTGTTTTGCTGATCATTAGCACTAAAGGAGGGGAAGGGACACCTTGAACACGAAGCCACTTTACCTATATATCCTCCGCCTCCTCCACCTGAGGAGCACCCCCCTCCACCCCCTCCGAAACCCCCTCTTGTCTCCCACCCCCACTTCTTCATGGCCTGGGGGCAGGATCTTCCTCCAGTAGCACCTTCCAGCAAGGATTTTCCTGACCACAGGAAGGAAGTGTTATCATTCCAGCCACCTCCACCACCTGCAGTTAAGAGAAGAGAAAAGGCAAAGGCAGGGGTTATTTTTGTGTAAAAAACCCTGCAGGGATCTGCAGAACAAGCACTCCTTCAAAGCACCTCAGCTGAAAGTAAGAATCTCATACCTTGGTTAGAAGAGGGGATGGGCTAGCTACACGGTGCTACTGTGACCTTTCTGTAGGGCTTTTGACCATGTTAATCATCTGCACCTCTTTTCACCTACCGTACAATGACAAGTATTTTCTATGGAAAATGTAAAAAGATATCCCTGCCTATTCCCCAACCACTTGTTTCTGGTTTACAAAGCCTTCCCCTTCTCTTTGCAAAAAATACTTTTGAAAAAACCTCTATGTCAGTTCTGAAGGGGAACAAAAGGAATTTAGTGAAAAGGATGTGAAAACACGTCCCAGCCCCGCTCTAAATGCAACATACTCACCAGTGACACACTTTCAGCTCTGCTGGTTGTTCAGTCCAAGGTCTCTTCACAGAGACTTCTAGCCAGGGTGCAATTATGCTCTTTCTGCATAAGCCAGGGAAACTGTGAGTATGTCTACACAGCGCAAACAGTGCAGGATGGCCACACCAGCACTGCAAACTCCCACACCAAAAATCAAACAACTTTGCTTTTCAGAGTCACTATGTTATTTTGGGAGAATATTGCCATTGCTATGGCTATACCATCTCTGATACCTCTAATTTAGGCCAAGCATCCTGCATTGTGGTTACATCCTACATGTATCTGTTATACTTCCATATTCCCCCTGAACTGTGTTTTCATGAGTTTCCTCTCACCTCCTTGTGAGGAGGAATCTGGGAGTACCACATATTCATAAAGGTTTTCTTAAAAAGAAGAAACTTTCCTTACCTGCAGCTCCTGAATTTCCATTCAGCCCTGGAATAGAGGAATCATTCTCCAGCCTTTCTGGATGAAATGTGTCTGTTTTGGCCCTGTAGGCCCTGCCACCACCTCCTGCTGCAATTATCAAGGGGACCGGTTCTCCATTCTCCATCTTAACAGATTCAGAAATAAAGGCAGTGTTCAAACTGAGTTAGACATGCAAATGGAAATTCAACCACATGCTAGTTACTGCTCAGTACTACAAATTACCATTGCATTATTTAATGCACCCACGTCCACAAGATTAATGAATAGCACTAGTCCTACCAAGTTCTGCAACAGAGAACAGTGGCATCAGCAGCTCTATGAATTGTACCTACAATGCTGATGGCTCTTAGAAAGCTTGTAATGTTACCATGCACTGACTTTCATCAAACAAAACAGCTAGGGAGCACTGCTCTGTACAGCGCAATATAGTGTCTCCACTGGTAAAGGACTGCCACACTGGAAACTGAGCATGCAGAGTTAGCTGGAATTATGTAGAAGCTAGGTGATCTAAACATATTGTTAACACCTGAAACCAGTGTTTGGAATGAGCACTGTCTCAGCTAGTACATGACAGAAAAGATGAGCAGCCTCTAGCTACACGGTTGCCAACAGAAAACACACAGGCTATCCTCAACTTTTCTTGTCATTGCACTGTATAGGCCGAACGTGTAGCTGAAGTCTAATGCTCTACAATGACAGATATCAATAAAGTCCTGTGCAATTTGCCCTTTGCTGTAGAATTATACTTCAGCACGTCAGCTTGCATTGAAAAGAATCCAGTTCAAATTATTATGTTTGCAAAGGAAACTCTAAGCCACTGAAGCAACTGTGGCCATACTGTGTAGCACTTCTTCTAAGAAGTGTGAAGGGCCAGCTTGGCTCACTACAGCTATCAGATGGAAATGAAGGATGCCCGGAGGCCACATTGTGGATCCTTCCCCAGAGGTGTATAAAGGGTTCTCAGGTACTTCAGGCTGCAATACTACAGGCAAGTGGCAGGATGTGTTCATGCTGAAAGTGCATAGGGACTACATTTCCATACCTTAAATATGTAAGTTGCACCTCCCCCGCCTCCACCTCCTCCTGCCCATTCATTGACACTTCTGTTCACACGGATCTCTTCTTCAATCACATTGTTCTCTCCAATGCAGACTTTCTGTATAACATCATTAGTCTGCAAACAGAAGACTAGGTCTGAATTCTGGTAAGAAATCTCCATGTCCTTGTAAACACACAGGCCTCTTGGACCCTTCACCCTCCCAAATCAATAAATTGTCCTCCAGTGAAACTACATAAGCAGAAGCAAGTGAATACTCTTCTAGAAGAATCTTAGCTTTTGCTTCAAGAAGAAATTGTTGCCATTTTAATTGAGTTATTTTGAAGCAAGCTCAGTGCTGATATCTATTACCATGTAAAACAGCTCCATAAACTTTCAACATACAAGATGTAGCAGAATTTACTTCCAAATACTTCCCAGCATTAACTATCTGTATTTCACAAGTGGGGGAAGGGAGTAACTCTGCAATGACATGACTTGCCCCATGTCATACAACAGCCAAATGGCAGAGACACAGAGAGAACTCAAGTTTCTTTACTCCTCTTCCAGTGCCCCATTGGTTGGGGCCAGGCAGCAAACGTGCATTTATCCAGAACTAAGGTGTAGTGGTGGCTCATGTAGATGCACCAGAGCTAGCTTTAACTTAGGTGGTCACAGCGTGGACAGTAGCAATGAGCTCAGCATGGACTAGCCACCTATTACTGACCTAGACTTCCAAGCAAATTTTGATGTTCATCTGATGCTTATGCTGTAGTAGCAATTTTATTGTAATTACCAGTGCTAGCTAGTTCAAAGCCTACCAAAACAGCTGCAATCCCACCTTTGATTGCAATGCTGACCTGATGTTCAAGAAAATCCCTCACTAAAATGCCTTCATGTTTCCTACTTAGCATTTTTTCCCCTCCACCAATTAGCTCCAAATGTAATGAACCTTCTGTATTAGGCAAAACACTGAATTCGCTAACTGATTTGAAACACAACATTAAACCATCATTTATAAGTACTTCCAGACTATGACATAAAAGAGGGAACTGTCGCTCCAATTTTAAATTGGAGCACCAAGTGCAGGACAAGCAGGACTTTGCTGTGAGTATTTCTAAGTTGCAAGCTTTGCTTCTAGCTTATTTTACCTTATATGTTTCATCTCAGTAACGCTATCTTCTTATGCACACTGAACTCACAAAGTCAACACCACTTTAAGGGAAAAATGCACAAACAGTTGTTATAGTGGGATTGATCTTCTGCTTCCTTCTACTTTCATATATGTGTTTTCTTTTGGAAGAGGAACCCGATAAATGTTACAAATTATGCTGTTGACCACAAAACGTGTCCTATGTTGTGTCAGAGAATGAATGGCATCCATTTTGAATGTGCAGACTTGGCTATGGAACTAAACAATCCTCCTTTTCCCTAGACTTCCCTCTCCTTAATTGATTTGGAGTTGGGCGGGGATGATTAATAAAATGACAAAGTCAACGATCCAAAGGAACCACTAGATTACAATTGAATTAAAAAAAAAATAATCCTTCATGGCAAAGACATAACTGATTACAATCCAATCTAGTAAAAGTCCCTTCTACAAGTCAATGCAATCTCTTTGCCTCAATGAAAGAATTACATTAGCACTCAATAAATTCTCACTAAGATTACAGTGGCCTGCAATTTAATGAGTCCATATATTACTCTCAGCTGGAATGTCCTAGCTATAGATGTTAGATGGAAGTTTAAGTTAGGGCATTTCTCATTTCAAAGAGGCTTCATATTAATGGTTTGTTTGCAGATATGTATAATTCCAGTTTTAACATTATTTACTTCAGCACCCAGCCTTGAGAACCTCTCTTTCTTGACTAAATCCTTCAACCTTTCTCTGCTGTAACAGACCACAAAGCTTTCATCTCTTGGATGCCAGACATTAACAGTTGAGAAATGCACAGCATTTAAATGTCTAGCTCAAACCTGTAGGTGAAATTTCAGCAGATAATGCTTCGTTTCCTCTCTAAGAATCTCCTATGCCCTTATCCTCCAAAGAATACTAAATTAATAGAATATTGTGCCTGCAAATGGTGGAAGTCGCACTTTTCTGTCAACGCATTTGCAGCAGCGATTGGTTAGTAACACAAAAATCAGGACTGACCCAGCAGTGAGTAATTTGTCTCTCCCATTCTCATACAGAGAATAGCCAAACGGGCCCTGTGAAGTGGGTGTCTCCAGAGTTGCAGGGTATTATAATGGGCTGGGCTCAACAGCAGAACAAAGACTAAGCCCTGTGAAGTCAACCTTGAAGACTGATCTCCAGAGGAAAGGAAGGCAGAGTTGTCTTTTCTCTCCCAAAACCCACACAGATGCTCTGAGACATGCAGATCAATCAGGAACCTCTTGTGTATTATCAATGGGGCCTGAATGTCGAAAAGGAAGTAAGCACAGTGACATGGTACTTCATCTTTTCACACTCTTGCCCTCCCAGTAAAACTGCAGCTACCCCTTAGAAGCATATAACCCAAAACCCCTAAAGGACAATGATTTTCTCTGTAAGCAGACAAAACTCCATGGATTTGGCAAAACTCCAGTGATTAAGGCAAAACAGAAAGGGTGATCACTTACGCTAGGACAAGCATCTTCTCCTTGCTGTCCCACCAAGATATACAAAGTATCATCCTTCTGGAGGTCAAAAATTCCCAGCACAGACACGCCGTGAGACCGCACCATGGTGTTCTTCCCTCCTTTCCCACCAGCAGCTCCATAGCCTGAGATACTGCAGGAAAAAGAAAACAAGAGCCTGGCACCTCAGTTGTCCCAGACAGGTGGAAGGTAGTACAAATCACTTCTGGGCACTGCGTGTTTTGCACACCTGAACTGTACACAGTGTCACAGGGCCAGGCCCAAGACCTGACACTTTAAATAAATCTAAACCCAAAGCCTGAAGACTGAGGTTCTCTGCTCCACATGGATCTATGAACTTGGGTAGCTACAAAACAGTTTCTTTCACATTGATTCTTGGGCAAGCACTTGCTGAGGACAGAGTGAGAAGTCCCTGAAGTTTGAAACTTTCATATATGAAACACATCTTGTTTCCCAGCAGGCAAGCCCTTGAGAGGTTTTGCAGCGAGAAGGAGAAAGAACAGAAGCAGGAGAACCGACAAGTACAGCGCATATGGCTAAAGAAAACATTAAGTGCGAGACTGACAGGGGGAGATCTGAGAAAGCAGACAGCATATCTGGTCCTGGTATCACGGACCAGATGGGAAACAGCTCTCCTATTCCTGGTACCAGAGGAACAGAGAAGAGTAGATGGACACAACGCTACCTGCATAAACAAGGAAGGCAGAAGCCCACTGGCTGAACTCATGGTCACCATGAACGCCTCACTGTCCCCAGCCAGGAGTGGCAAGGTTGCATACACAGGCTGCTGCAGTCTCAGTTAAAGCTCTGGGACTTTTATTTCAAGCAGTCAAGATTCAGACATCCTTGCTGATATACCCAAAGATCTGGTTGCACCACTGTATTGCTCAGCTTCTCCCTCTCCCTTTCTAATTATATAAACTATTTACATACCAAAGGATTTCAAAGCACTTTATAAAAATCATGATAAAATACAACTCTCTGCTGCAACAAAAGACTGAGTTACTCAAGTTTCTAACCAAGTGAGTAGTGGTACAGCAGCTCAGTTTACATCTGAAGTAAGCAGATTGACTTTAGTAGCTCTGCAGCTATTTCCATCAGAGCAAAATTCAACCTGGACAGTGTAAACAGTGGCTGCAGGGCTAAGAATAAAAAACTTCCTCTTGGCTTCCTACCAGTTACAGTATAGGTGCTCTACTTCACCTCCTTCTTTCCTCTAGCACCTGGCTGGTCTTTGTCCAGCACAGTCCTGCATGCAAACAGGCTACAAGCAGAATGGACCGGCAGTGCCAGCAACTTGCCTTAAGGATTAACACGAGGAACTCACCTTGTGATATCGCACCAAGGCAGTCAGCATGGAGCAGTTCTGATGTCAAAGCAACTGTGCAACATCAAGTGCCTCATAAAGCACATTAGATCCTCATAATATGACAAGATTATGTTCATGCCACTGTCGATAACCAAAGCAATCATTCCTCAGTAAGGCTGCACTGGAGCCAGCAGAAAAAGTGATGGACACAGCACTGGGCTACCCTGAACAGATGCTGCATGAATCTGAGACTGAGCTGATTTGCTGTAGAATTTTGTAATGGCTAATGAGGTGCACTATCAGGCACGGCAAGCTGGCAGGGCTAATCAGCTGCAATTAGGGGCCATATTTTTCTGTGTATGAACAGATTTTGCATACAAGCAATGATGTCAGGAAGTTCAGGAGAACCCATTTTGACCTCATTCACAAGCTACAGACAAATAAAAAACAGTAGATTCAGGTGAGAGTCATTCCCTATTCAAAATGGGTGTCACTATTTAAACAGATGGGTTATTTGACTTCAAGTTTTAGCAGGATCCCTCTCCCTAGGCACAACTTTCTTTTACAGAAGGAATCCATTTAACCATATTGGCCTTGAAGAAAGATCAAACCACCCTGAGCAGATATAACCAGAACACAGAATACCTTCCACTGTTTTCCTCCTTTTCTTTTATTATGAGGCTTGTAGGAACTGAAAAAGAAAATGACGTCTTCAGGAAGGATCAGGATGAGCAGAGTGCACTGCCTGTGCAAACCAGGGATAGAGAAAAAAAATAATCCACCAGGTCATGGGAAACACTGGAGCTGGTTTTGAGAATACGAGAAAATTCAGTGCCTAGGCTGGCCAACCTAGGACACCTTTTTGCATTTCACTGTGCCATGTTCTCGTGCTACCTTACATGAAGGGACCAGAGAAAAGAGAGGACAGTGAAAGTGACAACAAATGGGGTGCTTAGCAAAATGGACCAAAGACTCTTGCTTTGAAAATGGAAAGAATTCAGGTAATGGATATTAACGTGTACACTTAACGTCTCTCATATTTGATCATAAGCCTAGATATGGGATGACAAGACCTTCTGAATGCTTAGAAGGAAATCTAAAAAGGAAAATATTCTTCTATATTGCCTAACTTTATTGTTATACAATGTGCAGTCCCGTGGGAGCAAACCAGATGACTTTGTCCATATCAGCATGGCAGTACGTAGGACTCTCATTTTCAAATGAAGCCGCAACGCAGTGTGTGGCAGCTTACCCAGACCTTCACAGATGGTGGGGTTTTCTGGGTGTGCTTACCTTGTGCTAGTAGAGTTTTGTGCAAAGTTGAGCTTTCTGTCTTTGCACTTTAATAATGCATATTCTGCCTCATGTTCACAAATCTATATCCTTCTTATGCAATTATCAGGAATGTAACTCACTGCTCTACATTACGCAGCGTAAAACACACTGATATGGCATAACAACAGCTTTCTTAAGAGCCCAACAGCCAGCTCGAGGATTTTATCTCTGGGTCAGGTATATTGGAGATGGTTATCAGACTAACTTACAGGACCTGGAGTGCAGCTGGCCTGCAGGGGAGAGCTAAATACAGGCAGTGGGTCCAGGCTCTGGGAAGCCCTAGAACTCATATTGCAACTTGACATTTTCCTAGGGCTACGCTATACTGAGGGGCTCTGCTGCCCCTTCAGCAGCCCGGAATCAGGAAGATGTCAAGTTAATTTAAGCCCACAATTGCCTCCTCCTTCCCTGAGGCAGTCAATTCTCTACTATAGCCTTAAGTGGTGCAGAAGAGAATGTCATCCATTTATATATAGGTTACCAATGACATTAGCCATTTATTATCTATACAGAACCTAAAAGTCTGTTAGGTCATTTATAGGACTTAAATAGACAGGTCTTCCCTGCAGGACCTGTAGTTTGTATCATGTAGCAAAAATTAGCCTACAGTTGCACTGGAATTCTGCCTCTTATTGGGCTGTGATATTAAAGAAATGACAATGTCGTAAGTTTATTGCCTCTTTTCTTTTGCGCTATACTTTATAACCATATTTACTGAATGCTGGTCCTGAAAAATTCTGTTCACCTCAGGCAACTCTTTTTTGATGGCTGAGTAAAAGATCATTAATGCTTTTTTCATTACCATCAATCCTTGTGGTAATAGGCACTCAGGCAGAACTTGAGCCTAGCCTAGCCAGTTTCTTGAAACTGCTTTGCAGTAGATTTCTGTTAGAGACTGACATCTACCCTCAATACTCTTTTTCAATAAAAAGAAAAAAAAGGAAGGTGCCAGTAAGTTTTAACTGAAATTTGATCAAAACCTTCAGTGGAATGTTCTGCTTTGAAATCCATGATACCATCATTGGTTTCAATAGGGAATATTGCATATAAAACTACCACTAGACAGTCATTGATTCAAACAGACAGTTCTGCTTACAAACTGATGCACGTAATAGTTTGATGTTAACCACAGTGAACTAAACTTCGATTGTACTTTTTTCCCCAGCATGAGCAAAAAGAAAAAAATGATTGGTAAAAATCTGATTAAGTGGCATTGAACCTTATCTGATCATCTCCCTTAGAAAATAACTCCACAGAGGGATTTATGTTTAGAACCCTCAGTATCACAGAAACTAACATTTAGGTGGCTAGCTTCCAAAATCAATTCTACAGTGCTCACGCCTCGATTCTAAACAGTCAAGATGCTGAGCACAGCTTGGTGCAAGCTATCCCATAAGAAATGCTGACGTACGATTGTGCCTCCTATACCAGGTTGAGAGTGAGAAAAACTCATTCTGATCCCAGAATTCAATGGACAGCATATAGGAACATGTCTGTCCCTTGGCCTGGGGAGGTCAAAACACTCGATTTTCAGTTATTTATAGAGCTTTCCCAACCTGTAACTATTTAGGCTAAAGATATGTCCGCCTCAGATAGCTGTTTCTTTCTCTTATCTCTTTCACCAAAAAGTTGCATCTTCAATACTTCATATATGCCTAACATGTATTTGCAGCTTGGAGAAGTTTCAAACGCAAAGATATATCATGAATATCAGAGAGGGTTGCCTTACCTGTATGTGTTGGTTGCTGGTACTCTCCAGATCTGAATGCCTTGGAGAATCCCTTCAGCTCCTACAATCACACTGAGGTTGGAGTTCCTGTAGGCATCATTGCATTGGCTCTGCGTGGGGCCATAGGGTCCGCTGGCACCACATGTTGTGAATAACCAGTGATCTGAAATGAGGATGTATACAAAGCATGATCCAAACATCCAAAGATCAAGTAGCTGTTCTGCTCTTTATTAACTTTCTTATACTGGACCAAGAGAAGAACCTGGCCCCTGAGGTTTTAGCCAGAACAAACACAGAATTCTTTTAAAAGACTCAGCGCTGTGTATCTCAGTATTTGACAGCTTTTCATCTACATCTCCTGAAAGCTATCACAACTACGAACACATAGCTTTACTTTTTCTAAGGCTCAAAAAGGCAAAGATCACAGAGTAGAGTAAAATGCAACACAGACCACCCAATTTTTGGCTCTGCTCTCTGGGCTGTTAAAGTGCATGCTCATCACCTCAAGACTGGTGCATTTTAGCCCTGTCAGTTTCTACAGACATTTAATTATTCAATGTATTTTATATCGAAAAGTAGCTGTTGATTATACAAAAACCTGTAAATACATCATCATCTCAGTTTTTAAAACATAACAATGAACTAATTGTATTTCCAATAATTATTTGTTCACAAGAGATTCAAGTTAAGCTGCAGAAGGCAAAACACCTAACTGAAGCCTGTAAAACAAGCATTCAGCTCTGCGTGTTCTAGGCCATTACTGCAGGTGTAAATCAATGCATCCCCATTGAACCCATTTTCATCAACCGGAGATACTAGTGCCGTTAGATTTCTAGAACAAGGCTTTGCTGATTTGTGCCTCAAAAATCTGATTTTTTAGTTTGAATACATGATGCTGAAAACACCATCCTTCTCCTTAAAGATTGATTACTAGGGCCAGCACAGTTGCAAGACCAGAATGCTCTTGTAAAACCCACCCTAACATATTTGCTAATACATCAGGAAGTATTTCATATGGAATCAAAAAGATATAGATGGAAAAAAAAGTGGACTGAGCATTTTGGTGTACATGATTTATCATTCATACTTATTAACAAGCTAATATACACAATCCAATAAACTCTGTTAGTTAATTCTACTGCCATTAAAGACAAAGAACTTTAAATATATCTAAAGATCATTATTTCTACAAATGATGTTGGGCCAGCCAGCTCTCCTTATGGCTTTCTCACAGGGCAGCATTTCGCGCCTCCCCAGCTTCCACTAATGCAATACAACATTTGCAGACTCTTTCAGTGATGGTACTAATTAGCTCAGATAGAGCAATTGCTAGATCTGCCTCTTGGAATTTGGAGCTGTTGTCTGATCTGGTCTAGGAATGATGGTCTGCATATGTCTGGATGAGAGAGGCCAGCAGCTTTACCATTACTGTCACTGGAGGAGCTCACCCACCAGAAATACAAGGAAATACATTAGCTAAGCCAGGTACAAGGTCTGAATTACCTTTTCACAAACTAATCCTGAAGTTGAGCTAAAATCCTTCTTATAAAAAAGTTCAATGCATGAAATAGATCAAATAATTTGGCAGGACTTTAAGAAATAAAGTGGCTGATATTTCTGAAAAACCTTTGTAATAGAGTCTTGGCCATTCCAAGAAGCAATGTAAAACTACTACTTTACGAAAGTGTCCCAGTCTAAGTACTGCTGAGAGAATAACCTCTTCCTCCTTACTGCAAAATCTGCACCAGACCTCCTCAAAACTCCCCTGGAAGGGTCTTCTAGAGACTTTGCTACTGTTACTTGTTTGATGTGGATACTTACATACTTACTTTACTTATTTCTCAAATCCTTCTGCAACGGGTGGCAGTATAAAGTCTTAAAATGATGACAGCAAATGGAAGATTTCCCCTCTCCTCCTCTGCCTCTAATGCACTGCCCCCCCCCCCAAAAAAAACCCCAAGAATAGCAGGTAAGATGGGAAAAGCACCTAAGAAAGCAAGGTCTAAAAGTTCCTAAATAAAACGCTTCAGTAGCTCCGATATCGACAGTCTTGTACCAGACATTACTTATGTTTATTCTTGCAAGAAAACCCAAAACCAAGGCAAAATATAATACAAAATGGAAGATGAGAGACTCATTCTGTCAGCTATCACAGTGATTTAACATTGCAGTATCCCAGTGGGCTAAGCCACCTGCACTGAAACATATGCTTCGTAAAGTAGGCAGGTAAGTGTCTTCGTTTGGAACAGTAAGAAGCCATTTGGATGTCTCTGGTGAAACATCAAACATGTTCCCAAAGGTAGAAGCAGGTGACCTTCAAGGGGACAATAAACTCAAAACATGAGAGAATCAAAATGGAGAACTGGAAGTGATAAAACCTTGGACAGACCACAGCATGTGCATACTGCTCTTCTGGTTAAGCTTTATGTTCATGACTCACTCCCTCTAAATAAATCTTGTTCCTTAGGTATCTGCTTACCTGGCCTTTGCAAAAGTGTCTCTAGACAATCACACATGTAACAGCGCAGCTGGACCTGAAACTGGCAGCTCTTGACTCCCAATGGATTCCAGGGACAGGGGATCAATGAACTACATCTTATTCCAAATGCTTTTTAATGGCCCTCTTTCCTTTCCATAAAGCCCAACGCCCTGCTGCAAACCTTACGCATTCAGTCTCCAAACAAGCATCCAGAATAACTTGTGCGTTTTCTGCCTTTTGGACTGACTAGAGGGTGCTCACTTCCAGTGCAGAGGCAGTATCAGGGTAACAGCAAACAGTGCTGGTAATTTATGATTAGTCAATGTGTATCTATGCTTAGAATGTGACTTCTAAAACAGGGTATCAGAAGTTTTGGGAATGAAAAACCACTGATATATTATGCCAGGGAGTGTGATGTGAGGAACCTGTAGATGACTAAGCACAAGAGGTACTATCTCAGATTTCAAAAGCAGTCCTGTTGTAATTGATACAGTGGTATATAGAAGATCGTATGTCAAGCTTCCCAGGTTCTTCTACTTGCTCTGTTCAGGTAGACAGTAGACAGGAATGGGAGAAGACATGTTTCAGAAGTAGCAGAGCTGGCTAGTGACCTTTGTCCAAAATGTTGCAGGAGGAAGACTGGCCCAAGTGAAGTCCACGCGGAGACTGCGACTGCTTTGAACCAGCAAGGATTTCAGTAAAACCTACAGCCAGGTGTTGCCTGATCTCCTCATTTGTCACTGCTGCATTGACTTGCAAACAGTCCTCCTCCTTTCATATTTGATACTGACAGCCCGTCCAACACGTAACAGCTTTGTTGCTGAACTAAATGGGACAGAGTACGGCATGGGAAGAAGTTGTCCCTCATTTCAACGTAATTAGGACAGATGGGTGTTAGTTACAATTCTGGATAGAGACTAAAAATCTCGCGCTTCCCTCCCTCTGCTCTCTGAAACATTTCACAAAGCCAACCATCAATCTGCAGATGTAACCGTAGCCCAAGATCCTAAACCACTAACCCAGGATCAAAACAGAGTACTGCCTATCTTAGATAACCCACCCTTCTCTTTTGAAGTAAGAATAACCATTCACTCCCTGTAAAATATTGACTTTCTCTGGATTCTAGAAATGACTGCAGCATGTCTCATGAGCTCAGAGAAAGCATTTCTACAGGTTGCTGCATGCCACAGCAGTTTACAGTAATTCAATTTGAAGCATTACTTTAATCTCCAAAGACTAAAGCAGCAGCACTGAATCGAAACTCCTTAAGCAGCTAGGTGAGCAGCATAGATTTTTTGCATCAGTGCACAACTGTTGTCTGTTGCATACTGCACAGCGTGCCTCTCCTTCCTTCTGCAGTGCACGACAGGCTAACATTGCTGGCACCTCATGCTCACACAATGGGAAAAAAAAGCAGGACTCTCCAGTCTAAATCCTCTGTAACAACTAGCAGATTTTGGAATTTTGCCCAATTTCACACAAGTTACAGATGCCCGGTTTCCAGAAACACCTGATCATTCCCATGACTATGTAACTAATGTATATATAACTAATAGGTAGTTAAATATAGAGTCCCTATATATTCTGTCATTGGCAGCTGTAAGATGCTAACTGGGTTTAAAAAGTGGAAATTCCTGTTTAAGGTGGGGGAAAAAGAAAAGAAGTGAAGATTACACTGAGCTTCAGAATTGGGGTACTACCTTTCAGTGAGTAATTCATACATCAGTTCATTTGACGGAATCCTCACTTTCACAAAAAACGTGACAGAAGAAATATTTGGCCTTCTGCCTGTTCACCCATACACCTGCCCTGCTCAAGCTCCCTGGCAATCTCCCCAACACATTGCTAAGGTCCCAGCAACAACATTTTGCAAGAAATGCCATTTTGGCTCTATTAAAACAGATTTTAAAAAACTCCTTCCCAACTTTTCTTTCCAAATTAAATTTACTGATGTATTTATGCACACAGTCACTCATGCTTATTTTCTTTTTGCACAGCAGAAATTCTAGTTTTCACACAGCTTGACTGGATACGTAAAATGCACAGCAATCAAGGCACTGGATGTCAGCCACAGCAAAGGGGAGTCCTGCTCTGGGAAAACAAAAAGAACAAAACCCCACAAGACATAAAATGACTAATTCATTTGAAGCTCTGATACTACTCGCAGCCCAAGGCAGCACTGCTGCAGGCACTGCTGCAAATAACAGCCAGCAACAATGAAGAGAAAACAGTGGAGCAAAGCCTAAAGCACATTTGTACTTCTAACGCAGAAAGCAATTTCACTGGCACATACAGCACATAAACTCCGTATCACAAAACAGACCCGGGCATTTTAGCTATACCTCAAGGGCCTAAATGTATTAACTGACATTTGTTAAATTAAGCTGGTTTGAACTGAGGTTCAACTTGTTCCAAACAAAAACTTTACCATTATTTGAGAAAATTACCAATCAAGCACCATGGTACTTGGCTTATTTTGGAACCTAGAGTAACGCACTAGTGAAATGCATCAGTGCTTTAAAACAATGTGTAGGCAGTTCATGGCACTTGCTGCCACAACCTCTATTCAGGCCAAGAGGCTATCCCTATTCCAACAGAGCAAAAAGGATAATCAATAAGGGCTATAAGGTCTCATGCTTCAGGGACATAAGAACCCCAATGGCTACACTTCTGGAGGCAGTTAA